GTTAGCAACAGGACAACAGAGACTGACAGGTCTGATTAAAGGGCTAATGTTATTATGAGAATATAAAAATACGGGATATTTTTACAGGAAAATACTAAAACGGGAAGACAGCGGGAAAAAGAGCTCAAGTAACGTTACACGAGAAACCCGAAAAAAAATTTATTATTATTATTTTTTTTTTAAACCAGGTGTTGTGCCGAATTTCGACCCCCGCCAAATTATTACCCCCTAGTATTGGTAGGTTTAGGATTAGTTGTGGGGGAGGGTTTAGGATTAGGGGCGGGGTTGGGATTAGCCAATCAGGTACTGACTTCAACGAGGGGGGTTATAATTTGGCAGGGGGTCGAAATTAGGCACAACACCGGAAAAAAAAAAAACGTGAGGGTTGACAGCTAACGTTACTAACTATCTGTCCGGATTACTGTGTTTCCCCACTGTTTGCCGACTCTTTGTTGGAAATTTCATATGGATCCAAACCGTTAAAAGTGCCGGTTTAGTCCACATACCCTGGTAAATCCACAACCAATCCCATCTCTGCTGCTTCTCCTCGTTCGACTTGCTCTATGTTTACATGCGCGTAAGCTGCCAACATGGCCGCCACACCAGTAATGACGTCACGACGCCCAAGCCCTTCAGTCCTGGTGAAATCCTCACTCATTTCCACCAGCAGAGGATCTCGGAAACCGCAGAGATTTGTGCGACTGTTATAGTATAATATGGTGGTGTCTGGTGTCATTTTACTGGTCTGCGCATGTCTGAGTCTGACGGGAACATTGTTGGCAGTGAATCATGTGTGTGTGTGTGTTTGTTCTGTTCCATAGCATGGGCATCATACATGACCAACTCGCCCACCGTGATCGTATTGATCGGCCTTCCCGCCAGAGGAAAGACTTACATATCTAAGAAGCTGACGCGCTACCTCAACTGGATCGGGGTTCCCACGAAAGGTGTGTGTGTGTGTGTGACTTTACAGACCTGACCGCTTTTCAGTGGTACTTCTGTACTGATTCTGCCGGCCAAATATGATTATTCCTGGGGTTGATACACCAAAATCATTTCTTAAGTTATTAAAATACATAAATTTGGAATTCATTCTTATTCCGACTGTCATGTAAAATAAAGGGAAAACATAACAGGGAATTTTAACATTTTTCCCAGCTCTACAATGTTCATACAGCTTGAAATGACTCCTAATCCAGAAATAATGACGTCACGTGTTGTTCAAAAGATGTGGGAAACATTTCTAACATTCGTACTGCTATTAAATATTACACTAGCTTTATGGCCCTATGATGATAAAGATACAGTTTTATACAAATCGTTCTATATGTAGTCCACACCTGTGACGATAACATCACGGAGGAACTGGAATCACTTTCACAACGATTTTTGAACGATAAAAACATTGACAGCCAATCAGAATCCATCCTGCTGTAACCAACTCGAGCATTTAAAGTGACAGACGACAAACCCGTGCTGAGGATAAACCGACTAGCAATCGTTAAGACTGTTGTGTGTTCGTAACAGTTGTGTGTTTCTGTAGTGTTTAACCTGGGCGTTTACAGACGCGAGGCGGTACAGTCCTACAAGTCCTTCGACTTCTTCCGTCATGATAATGAAGAGGCCATGAAAATCAGGAAGTAAGTGTTTCCCCAGCGTTCTGTGTACAGTTTAAACACAAGAGGAAGTTTCTACAGCAGAATGACAAGCGTTTTGAGTTGGATTTTGTGACTTTATTGTAATATTCACATCAAATTATGTTTGTGGACCTATTATGCTCTTTTACAAAGTCTTGATTTTGTTTTTTAGGCTGCGCTAGAATTGGTTTTCATGCTTGGATTTTAACAGTTTTTTCCCATATATTTGACTGGGCCCTATGAAATCCGTTTTTATAATTTTACAAATTCCGATCGAATTTTTCTGCGTTCCGTTTTTTTGTTTGTTTGGGTTTTTTTTTTTATGGTTAAATTAAAATATTTAATAATCAGAAAGCCTGTCTAATTAATTGAAACCATGAAACTTGTACAATTTAACAATAATTTATTAGAAGATTTACATGATTTACAAAAATTACATGTTTGGACCATTTTTTTTCCTCATATTTCACCCAAATTCTGTTTTCTGGATTCCATTATAATGCTTTATTTAAATTTTTATTAAATATTTAAATGAAAAAAAAAATTCATTTAAAAACTACAGGGAGTTCAGAAAGGCTTACACTGATATAACGTTAGAGAATAAGTTTGTAACTGTGCAGAGATACTTCAATATCAAACAGCACAATATGTGAAAAAGCACAATAGGTCCTCTTTATATGATGGCAAACACTGGTTGTGGTCTGATGATGTGTGTGTGTGTGTGTGTGTCTCAGACAGTGTGCCATCGTGGCTCTAGAGGATGTGAAGGGTTACCTGAACGAGGAGGGAGGGCAGATCGCTGTGAGTTCTGCTCTTTACACGTCCAATCTTTGGACTTTACACAATTTTCTCCAAATGATTCACATGTATTGTTTTGTGTTATTTGTTGCATAAATATGCAGTTGTTTCACAGTTTATAGTACGATCAGTCTTGTTATTGTTAATTTCAAATAAAACTATATAAAATAACGTCAACACCCTTTATATAATGCATTCTAAAAGTATTATTAATGCATTAATTATGCACCTTATAATATATTTTATGCCTATGGTCTTATGAATAACCACATTTATAATACATCTAATTATTGAACACACCTTTAGATAGTATAATGCATTAAAACGCATGACAAACGATCAATTTCAGCATCTGAAAATATTTTGGTTACAATTATTTATGAAAATGAATGTGAGTGTGTGCGTGTATATATATATATATATATAATGTACACTATGAATTCCTTTTTAATGCATTAAACAGAAGTTAACAAAAATCTATTGAAAAAACCGCTAATGTAATCAATATTTAAATGAAAAATGAAATCAAATGATTAATATGCAACATTAGTATAAAAATAATACTAAAATGATTAACATCATTAGATCATCGTGCCTCAGATAAAATGTCTCTTTCTTTTCACTTCTTTTATTCAGATGGTGTTTAACTGATCTGTAATGGATGCCTGTAGATATTTCCAAGGTTTTCAAGCATTTTGGATGAATTTGAGACGTTCCGCGATCACATTTTCATCAGAAATTCTTATATTAAAATATTTTGCTGTCATTTTCGCACTATATTCCACACCTGTATATATAAATAAAAATTATTACAATTAATACAATAACTATTTTCCTGTTATTATCTAATTGCAGTTGTACGGACACGAATTGCATTCTCTGTTTTTCTGAGTTAATTATCTCAAGATAATTTTTCATGGATTTTTTTTTTTTTGCTCTGTTAATGACTTGATTATCTCAAAAACTCAGAAATTCAGAAAAACAGAGCAAAACTCTTTTTTTTTTCCATGAAAAATGATCTCGTAATTCTGAGATAATGAACTTGTTAATTCAGAAAAACAGAGTAAAGTTTGTTTCCTCAAGTGAATGCAATGCTTTTCTGTACAGTTGTATCATAAATGAATAGCTATAATATTTCCAGTATTTTTCTCATTTGTCGCTGCAGGTTTTTGATGCCACGAACACAACGAGAGAGAGACGAAACCTCATCCTGGGTTTTGCGCAGGAGAACGCGTATAAGGTGAACATCAGTCGCTCGCTGAAATATGATGAGTTGTGTGGAACATGCAGCGATCACTAAAGCTCCTGGTTTTCTCTTTATAAACTTGTGTGATTATTTTTGCTTTTGCTTCCAGGTGTTTTTTGTCGAGTCACTCTGTGACGACCCAGAAGTCATTGCTGCCAACATACTGGTGAGTGTTAAAATATTCATATTCTGCAATTAATTTCATCTGCTTATCACTGCTGTTACATCATATGATGTCGTTAAAGGGTTAGTTCACCCAAAAATGAAAATGATGTCATTAATGACTCCCCCCTCATAAGCCCGTCAGACCGTTCATCTTCAAAACACAGTTTCAGATATTTTAGATTTAGACCGAGGGTGAGTCATTAATGACATTATTTTAATTTTTGGCTGAACTAACGCTTTAATGGTAGATGGCATGAAATGTCTTATTATAATTATGCAACTTTTATGTGCTTGAATTAATTGAGACTATATGGAAATATTTGTACATTTAAAAAAACTATATTTATCACACTGAAAGATTAAATTATTGCTATTGATTTTAAAAATGAACAAATTGAAAGTAACACCTAACCATTCCACTATGTATTTATGTAATTATACATGAGCTATAATCTTGATGCTGATAAAAGTTAATATCAGTGCAATCTGGGATCAGGATGTGAAGGTTTCCAGTCCGGATTACCCTGAGAGACACAGAGAGAGCGTGATGGAGGACTTCCTGAAGAGAATCGAGTGCTACAAAGTCACATATCAGCCGTTAGATCCTGATGAACATGACAAGTAACATTACACTTTACAAGTCTCTTTCAATCCATTTATTAAAGGGATACTCCACTTTTTTTTTTTTTTTTTTTGGAAATAAGCTCATTTTACAACTCCCCCAGAGTTAAACAGTTGAGTTTAACCGTTTTCGAATCCATTCAGCCGATTATCTGATATGTAGAAGAATATCAGTAACCAGACAGTTTCTGGTCCCATTGACTTCCATAGTAGGAAAACATATATACTATGGAAGCCAATGAGACCAGAAACTGTCTGGTTACTGATATTCTTCTTCCCTAGTAGTTTACCGGCGTTCATCTGTGGAGGGAAAAGCCCGCTTTGCGCGGGTGCAAAATATGAATAATATATATCAATGTACAAAGTTATTTTTTTGCCACCATCAAGGCTTTAACGATGTCTTGGCGAGTTTCAGTAACATAGAAGCCTATGGAGGAGTGATCCAGCTCTCAGATTTCATCATGTGTTCTGAAGATGAAAGAAAGTCTTACGGGGTTGAAACAACATGAGAGAGAGTAATTACTGACAGAATCTTCATTTTTAGTTGAACTAACCCTTTAACTTTTCTGTAGTTATGTCAGAAAGCCTCCAGCAGAGGGCAGTACAGATTCAGGACAGTTTGCTGAATTTACGTTGTTCATTTGTAAGCATGTGGTTTTGTTTTAATGATCATGATAAAATACCTGTAAATACCTTCTAGTAGATTAGGTTACATTCAAATTATGTGGAAAACTTTGAAAAACTTGTTTGGATTGCTTGGAGAGTCGAGAGCATTTCTGTAATTCCTCAGGCGCAGCTTTTGGCTTCATCGTGAGATAATCTTGCTGGAAAAATACAAGCTCTTTAAAGTGCTTCCAGACAGAGCCACAGCCATTAAATCTCTCCTTGCCTTCAGACATGTTAGATTATCTTTTATTCTCTGCTGTTAGTGTGTTTAAAGGGGGACGGGTCACCCAAAATGTACTCATCCTCAAGTTGTTCCTAACCTGTGTTTTGTTTTATAACATAGAATTCAATGGGTCCCTTCAACTGTTTGATTACTCCTATTCTCCGAAATATTTTCTTTTGTGTTTAGCAGAAGAAATATATGAATGCAGGGTTAGAACAACTTGAATGTGAGTAAATGATGACCGCATTTTCATTTTTGGGTGAACAATCACTTTAAATCCAGCATCTTGAAAATTGTTAAATTCAACTTACAACATACAGCCATTTATTCCAGACATTTGTTTGTAATATTTAACTATTGTAAGCTACTTTCTTAAATATATATATATATATATATATATATATATATATATATATGAAGAGTTCAGATGCAAAAGCCTCTAAATGCCATTTGAAATTTTCTTCTTTATTGATGATTTTTATCAAACTTGTATATTTAAGTTCAGTTATTTCACTTAAATAACAATTAATAGGTAATTATCATTGCCATTTAAGTGAAATTACTGAACTTAAATATACAAGCTTGATAAAAATGATCATTCTAGAAGAAAATTTAAAATGGCACTTAGAGGCTTTTGCATCTGAACTCTTCATATATATATATATATATATGCAAATTGTAGCCATTTGATATTTATGTATAAATCAATGTTGACATATTTGTCTTTACATGCAGAGAAACTGGACCATAATAAGAAATACTTGTGATTTATAATAACTTTCTTTCTGTGTTTTTTCCCTAAATCATTAGGCCACAAATAACCACATATTTACCAGTTTGCACATATAACTGGGTGATCTTTCTCTGGCGGTTTCAGGGACCTGTCCTTCATCCAGGTGATTAACGTCGGTCAGCGTTTCCTGGTGAACAGAGTCCAGGATTATATCCAGAGTAAGATCGTCTACTACCTGATGAATATTCACGTTCAGAAACACTCCATCTACCTCTGCCGGCACGGGGAGAGCCAACACAACGTGCAGTGCTGCATCGGCGGAGACTCTGAGCTCTCCTCCAGTGGGAAAGAGGTACTCCTTCCAGTCACTACATGATGGATAATATACTGCTCTTTTAAAGCATGATTGTTTTGTTATCCATCAAACTTGAGTTATTTACAATGTGTGCATTTGATAATTACTGTATTGTGTGTTCCTACGGGTCATTTAAAAAGCCCTAAAATAAAAATATACCATTTAAGAGGTTAAAAATTTGGGGATTGAAAAACAGGAGTGATTTGCGAATGTGGTTATTAAACTTCTAAAGATTGAATTAAATACATGAGAAGTGCTTGTTTGAAGTGAAAATATGAATGAATGTTTTATTATAATAAATGCTGAAATATTCCATAATAAAATGAGAATTATCAATAGAGATAGAGAAATTTTGGCTAAAACCGATAACCAATGTATTGGCCGATAAATCTAATTTTGGCTGAAACCGATAATTCTTTATACTTGAAAGCCGATAACTGATATATTGGCCGATAAATCTAAATCTAATTTTGGCTGAATCCGATAATTCTTTATACTTGAAAGCCGATAACCGATATATTGGCCGATAAATCTAAATCTAATTTTGGCTGAAACCGATAATTCTTTATACTTGAAAGCCGATAACTGATATATTGGCCGATAAATCTAAATCTAATTTTGGCTGAAACCGATAATTCTTTATACTTGGAAAGCCGATAACCGATATATTGGCCGATAAATCTAAATCTAATTTTGGCTGAAACTGATAATTCTTTATACTTGGAAAGCCGATAACCGATATATTGGCCGATAAATCTAAATCTAATTTTGGCTGAAACCGATAATTCTTTATACTTGGAAAGCCGATAACCGATATATTGTCCGATAAATCTAAATCTAATTTTGGCTGAAACCGATAATTCTTTATACTTGAAAACCGATAACCGATATATTAGCCTATAAATCTAAATCTAATTTTGGCTGAAACCGATAATTCTTTATACTTGAAAGCCGATAACTGATATATCGGCTGATAAATCTAAATCTAATTTTGGCTGAAACCGATAATTCTTTATACTTGAAAGCCAATAACTGATATATCGGCTGATAAAACTAAATCTAATTTTGGCTGAAACCAATAATTCTTTATACTTGAAAACTGATAACCGATATATTAGCCTAGAAATCTAAATCTAATTTTGGCTGAAACTGATAATTCTTTATACTTGAAAACCGATAACCGATGTATTGGCCGATAAATCTAAATCTAATTTTGGCTGAAACCGATAATTCTTTATACTTGAAAGCCGATAACCGATATATTGGCCGATAAATCTAAATCTAATTTTGGCTGACACCGATAATTCTTTATACTTGAAAGCCGATAACTGATATATCGGCTGATAAAACTAAATCTAATTTTGGCTGAAACCGATAATTCTTTATACTTGAAAACCGATAACCGATATATTAGCCGATAAATCTAAATCTAATTTTGGCTGAAACCGATAATTCTTTATACTCGAAAGCCGATAACTGATATATCGGCTGATAAATCCAATTTTGGCTGAAACCGATAATTCTTTATACTTGAAAGCCAATAACTGATATATCGGCTGATAAAACTAAATCTAATTTTGGCTGAAACCAATAATTCTTTATACTTGAAAACTGATAACCGATATATTGGCCGATAAATCTAAATCTAATTTTGGCTGAAACTGATAATTCTTTATACTTGGAAAGCCGATAACTGATATATTGGCCGATAAATCTAAATCTAATTTTGGCTGAAACCGATAATTCTTTATACTTGAAAGCCGATAACTGATATATTGGCCGATAAATCTAAATCTAATTTTGGCTGAAACCGATAATTCTTTATACTTGGAAAGCCGATAACCGATATATTGGCCGATAAATCTAAATCTAATTTTGGCTGAAACCGATAATTCTTTATACTTGAAAACCGATAACCGATATATTAGCCTATAAATCTAAATCTAATTTTGGCTGAAACCGATAATTCTTTATACTTGAAAGCCGATAACTGATATATCGGCTGATAAATCTAAATCTAATTTTGGCTGAAACCGATAATTCTTTATACTTGAAAGCCAATAACTGATATATCGGCTGATAAAACTAAATCTAATTTTGGCTGAAACCAATAATTCTTTATACTTGAAAACTGATAACCGATATATTAGCCTAGAAATCTAAATCTAATTTTGGCTGAAACTGATAATTCTTTATACTTGAAAACCGATAACCGATATATTGGCCGATAAATCTAAATCTAATTTTGGCTGAAACCGATAATTCTTTATACTTGAAAACCGATAACCGATATATTAGCCTATAAATCTAAATCTAATTTTGGCTGAAACGATAATTCTTTATACTTGAAAGCCGATAACTGATATATCGGCTGATAAATCTAAATCTAATTTTGGCTGAAACCGATAATTCTTTATACTTGAAAGCCAATAACTGATATATCGGCTGATAAAACTAAATCTAATTTTGGCTGAAACCAATAATTCTTTATACTTGAAAACTGATAACCGATATATTAGCCTAGAAATCTAAATCTAATTTTGGCTGAAACTGATAATTCTTTATACTTGAAAACCGATAACCGATATATTGGCCGATAAATCTAAATCTAATTTTGGCTGAAACCGATAATTCTTTATACTTGGAAAGCCGATAACCGATATATTGGCCGATAAATCTAAATCTAATTTTGGCTGAAACTGATAATTCTTTATACTTGGAAAGCCGATAACCGATATATTGGCCGATAAATCTAAATCTAATTTTGGCTGAACCCGATAATTCTTTATACTTGAAAGCCGATAACTGATATATTGGCCGATAAATCTAAATCTAATTTTGGCTGAAACCGATAACTCTTTATACTTGGAAAGCCGATAACCGATATATTGGCCGATAAATCTAAATCTAATTTTGGCTGAAACCGATAATTCTTTATACTTGAAAACCGATAACCGATATATTAGCCTATAAATCTAAATCTAATTTTGTCTGAAACCGATAATTCTTTATACTTGAAAGCCGATAACTGATATATCGGCTGATAAATCTAAATCTAATTTTGGCTGAAACCGATAATTCTTTATACTTGAAAGCCAATAACTGATATATCGGCTGATAAAACTAAATCTAATTTTGGCTGAAACCAATAATTCTTTATACTTGAAAACTGATAACCGATATATTAGCCTAGAAATCTAAATCTAATTTTGGCTGAAACTGATAATTCTTTATAATTGAAAACCGATAACCGATGTATTGGCTGATAAATCTAAATCTAATTTTGGCTGAAACCGATAATTTTTTATACTTGAAAGCCGATAACCGATATATTGGCCGATAAATCTAATTTTGGCTGAAACCGATAATTTTTTATACTTGAAAGCCGATAACCGATATATTGGCCCTTAAATCTAAATCTAATTTTGGCTGAAACCGATAATTCTTTATACTCGATAGCCGATAACCGATATATCGGCGGATAAAACTAAATCTAATTTTGGCTGAAACAGATAATTCTTTATACTTGAAAGCCGATAACTGATATATCGGTTGATAAAACTAAATCTAATTTTGGCTGAAACCAATAATTCTTTATACTTGAAAACCGATAACCGATGTAATTCAAAATTTTGAATCAGGCCAAGTTTAATTAAATATGTTTTAGGCTTTTTAACGTGTTTCCCGCTATGTGTTAGTTTTCTAAAGCCCTGCGCGTGTTCCTGGAAAACCAGAAGATTCCAGACCTGAAGGTATGGACCAGCCAGCTCAGACGCACTATCCAGACTGCGGAGGAGTTGGCCGTCCCATACGAGCAGTGGAAAATACTCAACGAGATCGACGCCGTGAGTATTAGAGCAGTTTTATGGCTTTCATATTAACACTGGGCTGTTGTTCATTATCCACCCTTATAAAACACAGAGGTTTTCTGTTAACGTGCAATTAGTCAATTTGAGTCAGACGTATCATATTTTACTCATTCGCCACAACAGAACTAATTCAGCTATATAATCCTGTGTCATGGATTATATAACACACACTCCAATGCACAAACTCCACATAAATATAAAAAAAACAAAACTTTTTAAACCGTTAAACACGTAGATGAGGATGCATATGTAAATGATATGAAGATGAGTATATGCATAGAAAAACAAGGTATTGTAATCTGCATATATGTTAATTTCGGCAAGGAGTCGCATATGCACATTTATTAAGATTCTGGCTTACGCACGGTTTTATAAATCTGAATATTTAATGGCTTTCGGCTCCATGTAAACTTTTAGTAAGGACAATACACTACACAGTTTTTAATTGCAAAAGTAAAAACGAAGTCACGTTATTGCAACAGATCGGCGTTGACGATGGAGAAACGTTTGTGCTGTTTGTTAAATGTTTTTTTTTTTTTCTGTATCAGGGCATTTGTGAGGAAATGACATATGAGAAGATAAAAGAAACGTACCCGGATGAATATTCTCTCAGAGATCAGGACAAGTACCATTACAGATACCCAGGAGGAGAGGTAAGATTTTACAGGAAAATACCATTACTTAAACGTTTAACTTTCTTTATTATTTGTGAAATTTTCTAGCAATTTCTGTGGGTAAACACTTTTCCCCCAGTGTACCATTATGACACCAATTTTTTTTGCACGACCTTTCCAGTTATTTGTCATTATTACTGGATAAGGTTTTTTATGATTTGTTTTTAAAGATTATTAGAGATTCACTAAATGAATTATTCAGACAAAAAGAATGATTCGCTCCCTCTTTGGGCATGTGAGCAAGTTTTACTCAACCAATCAGAAACGTTGGGGCGGGCTTTACACGGTGACTACAGCGCCGGGATTTTGAAGCAGATTTTGTAGCCTACATTACAAAGATGGATGCCGCCGTCGAACATCACTCATTCGAATCAGTCCCTCTACAAATCGCATTTCATGCATCCTAACTTAATAAAAGTATTAATTTCTTCAACAACAAAAAAATAAATCTAACTGACCTCAAACGTCTAAAAGAGACTGAACTTTAAGCTGAAGTGTGCAGTTTGTTTTAAATCTTAGAATACGTTCTCCAGTCTGTGCTTAATATGGCGAGTCAGCTGTAAATAAGCCTTCATGTCCCTCTTCTCTTGCCGTAGTCGTATCAGGACCTGGTGCAGCGCTTGGAGCCGGTTATCATGGAGCTGGAGAGACAAGGCAATGTTCTGGTCATCTGCCACCAGGCCGTCATGCGCTGCCTCCTCGCCTACTTCCTGGACAAGAGTGCTGGTTCGTCTCACACACACACACATACATACACTCACTCAAATCATAGCACGCCACTTGTGACTTCAGTCAGATAATGAGAGACCCAAGTATGTCGGTTTCTGACTGCTGGTGTGATCCTGTGACAAACACTGCGGGATTAAAGTTGATGAGCAAAACTCTTCATTCACGACATGTTTGACTCAATTATGTGTTTAAACTCAGCAGATCTTCTCTTATTTTAATATGCTTGTATTGTACAGATGATTTGCCGTATCTGAAGTGCCCCCTCCATGCGGTTATGAAACTGACACCAGTGGCTTACGGTATGTGTTGATTTACATTCATGTAGGCCTAAAAACAAAAAAGTGTTTTATATATATTATATAAAATATGAATATATTGTTTACATTTCAAATAAATAGTTTCCTTATTAAAATAACTATTAAATAAATTATATAAGAATTAATAATTAAAAAATATGTATGTATGTGTATTTGTGTCTAAATGTTTATTTTTATTTGTTTATTTATTTTAATTATTTTAATTTAAATTATAAATTAAATTAAATTTTAAATTATTAAAAATAATTTACAGTATATATATGTATTTATATTAGGGCTGTGCAAAAGTTAATTGCGATTAATCGCATCCAAAATAAAAGTCTGTGTTTACATAATATATTTGTGTGTGCTGTATAAAATTATTTTGTATATATAAATATCTATGCATGCATGTATATATTTAAGAATTATTTGTGCTTAAATTCTGTATATATTTATAAATACATAATCTGTATTATATAAATATAAATATTTTATATATGAATAACACATTTTCTTAAATATATATGCATGTGTGTGTATTTATATATACAAAATAATTATATACAACACACACAAATATATTATGTAAACACAGACTTTTATTTTGGATGTGATTAATCGCAATTAATTTTTGCACAGCCCTAATTTATATATATATATATATATATACATACACTCTACATGTGTGTGTTTTTTTGTGTTTATTTATTTAAACACTTTTAAATGCTATTAAATTATTATTTATTTTATTTAAATTAATTAAATAACAAATAATTAAATAACAATTAAATATTAATTGAAACATTGTTAAAAATTGGCAACTTTATATATAATTTTTTTTTTTTTTTTTTTTTAATAAGTGAGATATAAATACTGTAAAAAAAAAAAAATCTGATAATTTTCGATATTGTTTTTTTTCTGTTACAGGCTGTAAAGTTGACAAGTTTGACCTGAAAGTAGAAGCTGTAAACACACACCGGGACAGACCACTCGTGAGCAAACATGACATTTACCAGATTTTTTTTTTTGGGAGTTTGCTAAAGCAGCATCACTGTTGTACAACAACCATTTACTAACACACTGTTACTCATCTTCAGGGAAATTTATTTTTATTTTATGACCATCGTTTGGTTTTTACCATAATTTCATATGCATTTTGTGGTGGATGATTCTGCATGCTTATTTTGCAGTGCTATTTTTAGAATCATTTGCATCTAAGATCGAGCGGTCTATCCAACACAAACACAGCTTCTGTAAATCAGCAGCTGAATGAGCCCTCAAACAAGTATAACCTCTTGAACTCTTCATGTTCCTCTAACGGAAAACTAAAGGCTGACTGTTCTGTCCACAGAGTTTGCAAACACTGTTCGTCTGTCTGTTTTTGCGGTGTAAGTCTGTAGGTGTAAGTTTGCCACTGCGGTGAGAGAGTTACAGCACTGATTCTCTCAGTATTTCTGGCTTGTTTTTGTTCTTTATTGGGTTGTGGATGAGAGCATGGGATTATGGGCGGCAGTGTCCGGTACAGACGAGTTTTCTCAGCCTGAGCTTTAATTTAATTGGATTTTAAAGGGCACATATCATGAAAAACTTCAGACCTCAAAGAGTTGGATGTAATATGTTGACACACTGTGACATTCTCCGCAGAGGATTTATAGTCAAGAAGAAAATCATACTGTTTTTTAAGGGGAGACACCCCAGGTGAATAGGAAAAAAAGAAACTAATAGATATCAGCGATGAGATTGAAAAAAATATATTTTGTATTACAAGTTTTTAGGACATTTATGTTTAAATATGCAAATGATTTACAGTATTATCTCATTGAATATGTGCTTATTTGCATATATTCCCAGAAGAGAAATCTGAACTATAGAGAAAGCCAGATTTAGAATTCATGTTTTATTTTGTTGACATTAGAGTTTTTACTTGGGGGATTTTGGATATCTCTTTTTATCGCTCCATTAATCAGAAAAAAATGTGAACCGCCATAAAAAAATCCATTTTCGTTCTGTTTTTAGGTATAAAATGTTGTATAAATCAGAATCTGAATGATATATGAACAAACCCCTCTGTAGAAACCTTAAGAATATAGATAGGAATACAACTGGAAAGTTTGGTGTATGCAAGTGCTTCTGGCGTGGAGATTTCTGGCTGAGGGGGAAAAAACATTTTGAGGAAACAGCCTTTAAAGATTTGTATTGTACAAATTCGATTCAATTTTTTAGTGGAATCAATTATTTACTGACACAGTGTCTTATCAAATCATTAGTAACAACAATACAAACCACCTGAAACGCATACAAACTTATAACACAGCATTTATGGCCTTCAGCTGAACAGAATCCCAGTAAAAAACAGAGTACACACACAAACAGTCTCTGCCACCCAGACCTAGATCGAGTTATTTTTATTTTCTTATTTACATTTTAAATATTTGACTTACTTTTTTTGTTAAAATAACTAATAACCATGAGGGAAGGCCTGGCCACCGAGCGCTTCGATGATGTCAAAACCATGAGTACGTCATTATATGACCGGCCACATTAATACCGTAATATTTCATGCAGAACTGTTAGCCAATCAACAGATCAACAGATTTACACATTTACATATTAAAAAGTCTAATAGGTTCTGTGGCAGAAACAGCCTGTTTAATTCTAAGGATCAAATTTGGGTGCAAGAAGCCTTGACTCATTATAGCCCTTTATTAACATGCCTTTGTCACAGTGTCAACCACATCTGTAATATCTAGTTTGTGTGTTTATCAGGGAAGCACCAGACAAGAATTGCCGCCCACTCTGCTGAGGAGAAACAGCTTTACGCCACTGTCTAGTCAGGATCAAGTCAAACGACCTCGTCTCTTCAGCGTCGGCAACCCGCCCCGGATAAGCAGCATTCCTGCCGTGCCCTCCACACGACTCCCTCAGGCACAGGAGAATGAGGAACTGAACGAGAGCCAGGTTTAATTATATGTTAAATGGGATTTATTCCTGTGATCAAAGCTGATTTCCAGCATCATTACTCCAGTCTTCAGTGTCATGTGATCCTTCAGAAATCATTCTAATATTATGATTTTCTGAAAAATTTCTGATTTATATCAGTGTTGAAAACAGTTGTGCTGCTTCATATTTTTGTGGAAACCGTAATACACTTCTATTGGACAGTAAGAGTTAATATTTTTATTCAGCAAGGTATTAAATTGATCAAAAGTGACAGCAAAGACATGTATAATGTTATAAAATGTTATATTTCAAATAAATGCTGTTCTTTTGACATTTCTATTCATCAAGAATCCTGAAAAATAAAAGTATCCACAAAAAAAAAAATCAGTTTATAGTTGTGATGCTGAAAATTGTTGTGGAAACTGACAGATGCATCATATAAATCTCTCGACATCAGTTGAGCTGCCTACTGTCAAATTGTAGCCATTTATATATATATATATATATATATATATATATATACATGCATACATGCACTGCAATTGCCCGTCCCTGCGATAATATAATATAATATATATATATTACATAATTAAATAATATATATCTATATATAGATACATGCACTGCAATTGCCCATCCCTGCGATAAAAAAAATATTTCTTTCCAATTTGTAATTATATATATATATATATGAAGAGTTCGGATGCAAAAGCCTCTAAATGCCATTTGAAATTTTCTTCTTTAATGATGATTTTTATCAAACTTGTATATTTAAGTTCAGTGATTTCACTTAAATGGCAATGATAATTACCTATTAATTGTTATTTAAGTGAAATTACTGAACTTAAATATACAAGTTTGATAAAAATCATCATTAAAGAAGAAAATTTCAAATGGCATTTAGAGGCTTTTGCATCTGAACTCTTCATATATATATATATATATATATATATATATATATAGGGGTGTAACAATATATCATATCACAATATATTGCAATACAAAACTGCAACAATACGTATAGTGGATAGTTCCACCAAAATAAAAATTACTGTGTGAGAAAAAAAATCTAATTTTCAGAGTTTTAGTGTCAGTATACGTTTTATATATATAATGTTGATTATAATGTATAATAATGCAATGGGGGAATATTTGTGGGTGCCAAATGTTTGATGTAACCAGTAAAAAGTGGCTGACATTATTTTAAATGTATCTAGTCAGTGAAAGAGTGCAAGCATATTCGTCTAAAATAATTCAGTATTTTCAGCTTCAGAATCATGAATATTGTTATTCTGGTGTCTCTATTGTCCTTAAGTTACAAGCACCGAGTCCAAGCCTATTCATTTAAACCCACAATCAAATTTAGCACTTTAATCAACAGTACAGTTCAGAATCGCAATAATATCATATCGTGAAATGTATCGAATCATGACATGAGAGTATTGTTACACCCCTAATATATATATATATATATATATATATATAACACACCATAATTACAAATGGGTAGGAATATATATATGTATGTATATGTGTTTGTGTTTTTCAGTCATAAGTGGTTGTCGAGAGTCTCTCAAGCTTTATTTATGTGTTTACACCAACAAAGTAACCTGTGTCTTCTGTCTTACAGGAAGTACTGAACTGCTTCAGACCAGCAGACTCCATCCAAGAGTGACAACACAAACCACAAGTTGTCTGACGGCCCTCACCAATTAAACCAAACGCTTTCTGCAGACATGATTCAACTGTGTCTGACGCCCACTCAAAATCAGCAGCATAAACACTGCGTTACGTAACGCACATGAGTGACATCCATCCATCCTCCTCAACCTTCATCCGTCGAGCGTTTGGAAGTACGGTAAATCAACATTAACAATTAATGCAAGGAAAATTGACACATATTTAATAGATTGACAGCTTGTGGCACCAATTAAACCACAGTTGAACTGATTGAGTGGGCGTGTCTCGTGCCAGCCAAGCTGATTGGCTCTCCAGGATCAGAATTCTTAAAGACACAGTGCACTTCCTGAAACTGATCTAAAAGCGAATGTTCAAGCACTCTTTTAGTTGTCGTAGCATATATTTTGTCCCGTGGTCTTAATAATGCTTTAGTTATATGATTGATTGAGGCCAAATTGGATAATTCTGTAAATATTTGTCGTGGTTTTAGCTGTTAATTGTTTGTGCTGTCGTTATTTCCTCGTATAGACTCATTCTGCTTTTTGATGTTGTGCAGAATGTTTTATTGAATATAATGAATGTGAAACGAGGAAGGGTTTGTGAAATTTACTATGGTTTTTTTCTCCAATGAAGCTTTGGAAAGGAACATCAGGGTGGTGATTTTAATAGAAAAGCAGATTGTTTTACAGTGGTTGTCATAACTGAAATGCAAGGAAAACTTGCATACTCGTTTATTCAGTCTTGAACAAATGTGTCCTTTCAGAAGCACGGTTATCTTAAGTTTTTAGTTTTACAAATGTATCTGTAAGAGCACTTAAAACTACTGAGAATATGGCATGTTATTTTAGTTTTTAGTTTATGCTTAATGTCATTTAGATGATCATTTGTTTTGAACAGATATTTATAAACGCTGATATTTTGAAAGGATATTCTTAAAATCTTATAACTTTGAGTTCATGTGGTCTTATTTTATAATGCACAAAGTATGTTCTTAAAGTGCTTAATACGTGTTGAATGTTATGACTATGCCTGTTAAGACTACACTCTAAAAAATGCTGGGTTCTTTTAACCCAACTTTGGGTCAAATATGGACTAACCCAGCCGTTGGGTTAAATTTTTACATTACATTTTTAACCCAACATTTCGGGTTTGTCCATATTTGACCCAAAATTGGGTTAAAACGACCCAGCATTTTTTAGAGTGTATGTTCTATCAACATTGTATGAAATTTCATACAAAGTGGCTGCATTGTAGTTGCATCTCGCAGCTTATTCATTTTTCATGATTAGATATTATCAGATCTGCAAGTGCCTTTGCTTCGCTACCAAAGTGTATTTAATCCAATTCAATCCATCTCCAAGACAGACTGAAGATCTTGGACCCCAAAAATACACATTTACCTCATGTAATAATGTTACAGAAAATAAGTTTTGTTTTCTGGTTTCATTGTGATATCATGATAGCATTACAATATCAATATCAGTGGTGACTAACTATGTAATGTCATACTCATCTATTGATAAAACTTGTGATTTAATAAACCAGTCTGTGATTCAAGTATAGTTTTTGTCTTTTAAATATATAAGCAATCAACATTTATTAAAGTAATAATATACGCATTGTCTATTTTACTTGCTTTCTATTACATATTTTTTTCTTATAATTTGTTGTGAAAATATATTTTTAAAATTGCTCCAAGTTATATATATATATATATATATATATATATATATATAAATTCTTTAAAGCAGCTCTAAAAAGACAATAGTGTTATTGTCCAGCTGAAATCAGTTTAGTGATTCATTTTGGTTTAATAGCTGTAAAGTGAATCAATAATCAATTACCATCATGTGTTCGATATTATTCTAGGTTACTACATACGGAGGATTTGACCCAATAATTAACAGAATTTAGTTGTAGGAAAGTCCTAATCTTCCAATTTTTATATCAAATATGCATTCTGTTTTTGTGAATTGGTAAGCTGCGAAGAAATGTAGGACTATCTATCATCAGCGAGTATCATCAGCATTAGTGTGAGACCTATATGAAGAGTTCAGATGCAAAAGCCTCTAAATGCCATTTGAAATTTTCTTCTTGAATGATGATTTTTATCAAACTTGTTTATTTAAGTTCAGTAATTTCACTTAAATAACAATTAATAGGTAATTATCATTGCCATTTAAGTGAAATGACTGAACTTAAATATACAAGTTTGATAAAAATCATCATTAAAGAAGAAAATTTCAAATGGCATTTAGAGGCTTTTGCATCTGAACTCTTCATATGTTTTCTAATGTTATCTCCCAAGGGTAGCATGTGCAAGGTGAAAAGCAACGGTCCCAGTACTGAGCCTTGAGGTACTCCAGACTAAACTTATGATGGATAAGACATCTCTTCATTTACTGATGAATTGATGAATCGGTCAGATAAGTATTCGAAACATGCCAATGCAATTCCACTAATTCTAACATTGGCATCTTAATGATGCCAATCAAAAGTTTTCTTTCAGTTCAATATAATAAATTGTGCAACATTACAGTAATCTTAAAAAATTTCTATAAAATCGTCTTTTTGCTCTGGTTAATGGTTGATTGAATTTCTGGAATGATTTATCAATCAATCAATATTTATTTATACATCCATTTTTCAAGGTGAACCAAAGTGCTTTCCAAAACAATAAAAAAAAATGCAAAATGACACAGAATGATTTATGTTTTATGTTTAATTTCCTTCGTAGTGTCCACATTCGCACAAACAGCTCTGGTTTAGACTGGTCTGCCATGTGGAAAAGGGTGGGTCATTTGTGCCATAGTCTTGAGCATGGCCACAACATTGGAAAAATGTGTTCACACAGCTCTGGAATAAACATAAAGCTGTCCTTTTTTTAGAGAATGTTTGTAGCTTGTCCTGAAATAACAACAAGCAAGTGAGGCATTGATATTGTTAAAAATAATATAATAAATGGTCAAATAAACATCGTCATTTTTTTCTTCCGACAGTGATTAGAGGACGTTGAATTCTTGGGAAAATCCTTCCAGTTTGTTATTTCCTGGAATTTTGATCCAATCACGTTATAGGCAAAACAAGGTGGCATTTGCCAAACACATCAAAGTTAAAACTGCACATTTTGTCTCCACAGTGATTTCATAAAAACCATGAAGATGAAAAAGTGCCATCAGGGTTGGACAACAGAAACTGTGACATCATCACCATGTATTAAAGCGGTGCCCCACCCACAGCAGACGATCATGTCTTTCTAAAGGTGGGGTGTCGATTATGTGTAAGACCTGCTTGATTGTTTATTCATGAATCCTTTTTTAACCTTTGTTTTACCAGCCTCACCTCAACCCTTCAGCTTGTTTTACTGGATCTCTTAACTATTGCAGAGGCTAGAATAATAATAACATCCATATCATTGTTTAGCATGTCAGACATATCAGATGATGTTATGCCTCTGTTACTATTAGTCAAGGATGACGCTAATAAGCAATCTAGCCTATCACAGAGATATTTCTGAATCCAAAAGTTCTCAAGGACTACGAAAGATAACCATGAATGTTTAGGCTGTTGGACCTGCAAGTGTTTTGAGAACAGTTGCTCTTATTTTCTCTAAATCTGCCAACCATCTTGTCGACGGAGATACAATGTAATTTATGACACAGTGATCATTCTGTAGGTGAAAAATCCTACAGACATCAAAAGCGCATGTATGGACTTGTTGTAATGATATCTTGCTAAACTTACCAGAGATGAACCACAGTAGGTTCTGCTATCAAAGAAAAACAAGAAGCATTTCATAAAATGAAAACTAAATGAGATTACAGCAGATAAAAGTACTGCATTAACATTAGTAGACTACATGGGGACACTTTGTATCCTGAATATATGCCTAAATGCAGTATAACGTGAATTCACAGTGTATTGTTAAAATTTACTATTTTACATTTATTCCTTCATTTACTAATTTATTTACATATTATTTTGTTCGTTAATGTATTTGTGATTGACTACGAAAATGAATCATGGTTTTACAACAAATTAAATAAAATAAACCATGGATTAACTATTAGTAACCATGTTTTTTTTTTTTTTAATTGTTGTAATATATTTAATTTTAGTTGGAAAAAATGGTTAACAATATTTTATACAAATGGTAGTCACAAAAAAAAACTGAAAAAACAAAACAACAACATGGTTACACTTAAAAAAAAAAACTTTTTTAACTCTTTTCATAGTCATTAGTAGCCTACCTTTTCATCACTATACAAATAGCTAGTTTTCATTCATTTGCTAGGCTAGTCACTCCTAATAAACGTAAGTTAGCAGAAAGGAAAACAGAAAAAGTAAGCTAACAGAATATGCCAATAGCTACTTATTATATTTTTTAATATAGCCTGATACTAGAGTAACTAAAAAAGCTAGTCTCTAAAATAAATATAACTAATAGGCTAATATAATAATAATAAAAAGGTTGTATTGGATAATGTTTGCCACAGAGGGTCAAAACCACGACCTACATTCTGTTCCATTCAGAAACGCGACTTTTTCTAGTTTATTCTTGAAATTTTGGTATTATTTGAATGAGTTGGTCGTTTATTGTTGTTTTACAAGAACTAAACCGAGGGCAGGGTTTGATTTCGTCACGACAGCGGAGCGGGCGTATGTTATAAGCGAAGGACTGTAATTTGAACACATTATTTCTGTTTTCTTCAGACAGACTCCTCTTCGTCTGCAGAAATCCGTGAATATGGCGACTGTTTGGGGGATTAACGTCATACTCATACTTGTGTTTGCGCATTTTGTAGGTGAGTACATTAAATGTCTACGCGACCAAAGATCGCGTCATTATAATCAACTTAAAACCGTTAGTGGCACGCGCGTCATTACTTGACGTTTCTATTGACACAGTGCTCCGCTATCCCAACCACTTTATTATATAATGTTTTTCTCGTATTATATGTGTGAGTTTATGGCTATTCAGTTTAAGAGCAACCTTATTTGACTCGTAGGCCAATGTGATGGACACCTGTCAGAATAATAAGCTGGCTCAGCTGATAAAAAAAACCAAAACAATATGTAAACAGTTCAAGGCAAAATTCAAGGCTGTTGGAAGATTTTGTAGTTTCATAAATATATATACATAACCATAAACACTATTAGTTAGCCTATATGACCATAAACATAGGTCATATATGCTGCAGCAATAAGTTTAGTAATTGGAGTTATTGTGCACACCTAAAGTATTTTTTCCCATAATGTTTAAAATAGATTTGCTGCCATCTAGAGTCATGAATTGCATAATCTTACAGTTTCAGGTAATTTTCTGTCTTTTCTCGGTCAAGAGGGCACCAAATTCAAAAATTCTTTTACATTATATGATCCACTTTCAATGAAAGTTAATGTTGAAATGGGTGAAATCATGCTCCTTAAAGTTCTTTACAACATTTACACACTTTGCTCAGACTATCAATAGGCTATTACATCACATTGATGATTAAGTTGCGATGTTATTTTCAGTATGGTTGCCAAAATGCATAATTAATAATTGCCTAATCAAATGAAAAACATTTTTTTTTTTCATTTCTATATTTTTTGTGCTTTTCAGTGTCTATTTCAAAGTTTCAAAAAGGTAA